AACAAACGGTCTCCGATTTTAACGAGCTTATACTCAAATCGAGCGGCTCGACGAGACAAATCCAACAAGCCCAAGATCTCCATATTTCGACATCATTAAGGCCTCCAAATGTCCAACGAACGGTGCATAATCAAAGGATTCGATATCGGCCGTCCATTCAAACCACTCCCAATTCGCCCCTGATCTCACGCTTATTTACAGGCTATGCCACTCCAGAAAAACTATAAATAGAGCCCTCATTTCTCATGAGAGGGGGGCCAAGCAAGAAGAGAATAGGAGAAGAGAAGGAAGAGGAGAAGGAAGAGAAGGAAGAAGCTCCTCCTCGATCACCGCCGAAGCCTCGCCGGACTACCGTCGGACCACCGCAAGAGCCTCGTCGGACCACCGCAGGAGCCTCGTCGGACCACCTCCGGACCACCGCAGGAGCCTCGACGGACCACCACCGGAGCTTCGCCGGACCCTTTTTAGGGGTTTTCCACGTAAAAACTCTGGTGTCTCTTATGACTGGTACACCCTCTCTTTTTCTGTGCGTGTGCTGGATCTTCGTACAATGCTAAGACATTAAACTTTATAATTCTCTACCGCCGCGAATACTCCAGGATGCAACAGTTTCTACATTTTTTATTGTATTAATATTTTAATTAATAGCCAATGTATTTAATTGTATGGCCAAATAATATTCAAATATTATATTTTTTTAATCAAATCGAGCATCTCAATGAAAAGAATCCACCAAGCTAAATATCATTTAATTCTAATATTATTAAGGCACTTAAATGTTGAAAGGTGATCTAAGATCAATGAAATCAATATAGGGCATTCAATTGAGCGTTTAGAATATTATTTTTATTGAAATAGTGCAATTATATCACTCACATAAATCTACAAATAGTTATTTCTATCCAAATGAGGAGAACACTTAAGATACAATAAAACAAAAAATGCTTGAAGAATAACAAAGTTCCACTGAACTCTATTGTTATGATCACCCTCACCCCCAGTCGCCATTGTTAAACCTTCATAATCTGAGCACCCCATCGAATCTCCGTTCGATAACTATCGTTAGACTTTTGCCAGTTGGTCACCACTACAAAACAAGCTCTATCTTGACCACTATCATCAAGCCATTGTTACCCAACCACACCCATCAGACCACAGTTATAGTTAGATCGACCAACATCAGTCAAACACCACCGCAAAGGCTTCATCGCCTAACTGACACTATCGAAACAATTTCACTATACTACAACCATTAAACAACTTTCACCACATACCAACTCTTGTGATATTTTTTCTACCAGCTTTCCATACTTTTAAACGTCGTTGTCTTCAAATTAAAGAACAAACAAACCTTCACAATTGGAAAAATTATTCTGTCAGGTTACCTGACATAGAGCTACATCATGTAGCATACAATATGTCTCCACGTGCACTTTCCCTGTACCGCGCGGCCCGACGACCCTACCCGGAACAGACCCGGGAGTTTGCGTAGCTCGGTATTGCTAGGTATTGGTCAATTACTCGATTTTGCTCGACAAAAACGAAAAATACTATTATGTAACGAGCAATACTGAGTTCAATACCGAGCAATACCGAATTCTTTTAGGTATTGCTCGGTATTGGTCTTCACATAGCGGTATTTCTCGTTATTGCCAAGCAATACCGAGTAATACCTAGCAATACCGAGCAAATACCGAGCAATACGCGAACATAGTAATCCCGGATTCGGTCCGAGTCGGGTCGTCAGGCCGCGCGGTACATGAAAAGTGCACGTGGCGACATATTATAGGCTACCTGATATAGCTCTACGTCAGGTAACCTGACGGAATAATTTTTCTCACAATTGACATTGACATAGTTGAATCATTTCGTCTATGCAGGGCCCATGTTTTCCCATTTCGAATTTTCTACTTAAAAATCTTAATGTCTCACATATTTTATTTATTTATTTGTTCATGTAATAAATCCACATATAAATTTAAGATACAAAATTTGTTCAGTCTGCCATCACAAACTTTCTAGCCCACAATATATATTAATATGTTCTTTTGATATGTTTAGTGGCTATTAATGTTCTCCTCACTGAATAAGCTTATTTGCATATTTAATAAGACAGATTGGCTAATCTAATTTGAGCCCGACTCGCATATAATAAATTCAAATTCAACTTTATTAAATATATCCAAATCTCCATTAGAATCAAATTGGACTTAACCTAAATAATTACCACTTAAAGTAGTGTAAAATTAGTTACTAACCCAATCCAATAGGAATGATTATATAATTTGAAAATAATGACAAAGGAATTATATATATAAGAAATTAAAATATTTTAAATTATTATTTTGTATTGACCCAAATTGACCTTTTTTTTTCTTTCAGTAAGTTAACTCAGCTCTTCTATAAGTTGGCCTGAGACTAAGGTTCCGTTTGAGACTATTTTTTTTTGCTTCTTAAAACAGCCCTTTAGTAAAAAAAATTAAATTTTTTGCATTTAAAAGTTGGTTTAAGAAGCAAAAAAAGCTGTCCCAAACAAGTCTAAGGCTTCGTTTGAGAAAGCTTTTTTATTGATTTATAAAACAGAGTTTTAGTACAAAATTTTTTTCTTTCAGTACGTTAACTCAGCTCTTCTATAAGTTGGCATGAGACTAAGGTTTCATTTGAGACAACTTTCTTTCTGCTTCTTAAAATAGTTTTTTAGTACAAAAATTAAATTTTTTGCATTTAAAAATTGGTTCAAGAAGCAGAAAGAAAGCCGTCCCAAACAAGCCTAAATCTCCATGTGTGATTCAATGTGAGTTTGGGTGTGTGCTTTGTTTGAAATAACAAATTTTTTTCTACTTTATGATAAACAAAAAAAATTTAAAATTAAAAAACTGCTTTAAAAAACAATAATGAAATGAATCCTAAGAAAGTAACTTTAATAACCAAAAACATAAAAACTTCAAGTTTGATAAGAAGAGCTCCTGAAAAGCTGAAATATTAATTTCACAAAACACTTAAATTTTTAAATCATACCAAAAACATCACAAATATTAACATTTAGCATTTAAAATAATTATATTTTCATATATCTATTTTAATCTAATTTAAATATTATTGTTGTATATGAACAAATATAAAAATTTAGGTGAGATTCACAAAATTGAAAAATGAAAACTTAAGTGAAAAAAAGAAATCAAGAATGAATAACTGGAGCATAGAACTGAACTGAACTCCCATCAGCTAAATACTTGCTGCAACAGATAACATACATTTATTAAGTTCTATTTAAGTCTCTAAATACATTACCATTTCATCTTTGAAAACAGCACATGCAATATAACCCAAAAAAAAAAAGGGAATTTACATACATACCATTTATTTCATGCTATTTATATATCTAAAAAAAATATTAATATTATATGTCTACCACCCATAGAATAAATATGAGTGCATCAAATGAAATATTAAAATTTATAAAATGATATAAGTGATATGAATGAAATATATTTATTATTAAGCTTGTATATGAGTGATAGACATGTAATATTAATATTTTAAATGTTATAGATGTAAATAGCATGAAATAAAGTGATATAAACATATATCCCCCAAAAAAATGTCAATAAACACATCCATTTTCTTAATTTCTATTATAAGTCTATAAGGAATAGCTTGGGACAGCTACAATTTTTTATAATAGTGATTGCGAAAATTCTAGGGGAAAATCAGCTTTTTAAAGATTTATTTAAAACAACATGAAAATAATAACCAAATGGAACTCTGAGTACGATCTAAAAAATCAAAACAGCAAAAAAATTATCCCAAACATACTAAAATAAGAAGTCATCAATTTTTTATTCAAGATTACAGCAAAGCCAAAATAATAAAAAAGTAAAATAAAATAACCACGTTTCCTTATCAAATGTTGAACAAAAATATATAATTCAAATTAAGAGTATGTTGGAAAAGATTGTAGTTTTTTTGTAAAGATAGGCATGATATTACGTAAGAAAAATAACTTATTGAAAACTACTGTAAAAAGTAGCTTTTCAATATAAAAATTTATAAAAAAACATGATCAAAAATAAAATATGATTTGAATAGCAAAGCAATGTAAAAATTATCCCAAACAGACCAGGAGAAGCTGTTGAAATGAAAGAATAACTTCCTCAGCTTCTTGGTTGCCTGGATATAGAAAATACGATTTTAAAAAATTAAAAATTTATTACATTAAGCCAACATATGTATAAAAAATGAGTAAATAAAACATATTTTCCCTTCTATGAGTAACCAAATGAGCCTCAAGAACAGGGAAAAAAATTGGATGGTGATTGCAGCCTTCAAATAATCTCCATAGAAATCTGGAGAAGGAATAGGCAAGTGGAAAATGAAACCTGATTTAACCATCAGGAATAATGCAGAGCATGCCATGGCCAGGACTTCGCTCCAAAGGATACATGGTTGCGCCTTTGACGTATTGCTGATGCTTGATAGCAGCCTCACGGAACTTGGAGAAGTCCTGGGTCTTTCCTTTCTCTCTCCTTTTGATGATGGAACAAGCCCCCCATGACCCTCGAGCTCCAGCTCCAACTCGTCTGCGAAAAATGGTCACATAAATGTTAGAAGTACGGAAAATAATCATATTTGAATTCATTTCATGAATTTTAGCATAAGTTCTATGATGATTGTCACAGTCAGAGTCTGACAACCATGCCAAGACTCAAAATTTTGCATTTTGTGAACCAAATGTATTTGATTTGTTCCATCTACAAGAAACATTTCCTGATTGAATATCCTCGATATGATGTCAGAACTAGGGAGTAATTTTTCTTTAGGTAGATTGGGTGTAGTTAATCGAGAAATTATTAGGTTCGAACATCGGATAGAGTGAATCATTAGGAATTTTCTCTGTCTACAGTCAAAGCACAATTTTTATAGCATTTGCGCTTTGACTATACTTTTATTGTAGACAGAGACATATCCGGATGATTCTTATGTCCGGGCCTAATAATTTGCCATAGTTAATCAGATATCCTTGACACTTTCTATGATCGCAAGCACCCGTAATTAACTATTCCTTCTGCTCGTGAGAGAGCAATCGATAAACAAGATTGCGAAGGATTAGATTTTTCAAACAAGTTTGAATTCAATTAAAGTAAAATGGTGGGGAGATTGCGATGAGCCCGAACACGATCTCATAGCTGCATCACCTCAAATACGCAGAAAGGGAAGAAGCAGAAATTTAATATGATCTTTTAAATCCTCCTAGGCAGAAAATGGAGGAAAAGAAATGTACGAAGTCGATCTATTTGTTAGAATTAGAAAGGGAGAAGTCGATCAAGGTTGCCCAAGGCGACATTGATATCGCTGGGATTTTTTTTTTTTTTTTACATGGTTAATGTTGTTTTAAGCTGTGAGAACTGAGCAGTACTGTTGAGGTAAAGCATTCAATCAAACAAGGGTGTTCTCAGAAAATATAGGTAAACATTAGATATGTTATTGAAAATTTTATTGTCAATATAGTTATAAATTAGCTATTAACTTATCTTACTTATTTACCGAATGGTTAGGTTGTCAACTATATAAATGCCAATTAGAAATTTAAAGAGGATTTTTGGCCTTCAAAAAGAGAGTGCTGTGAGTGATTATATTTTATTTTATTCTATAGCACTTATAGTTCTATTCTTAATTAATGCAACTCCTGATACCACATATTGTATGTATATTTGCTAATTTATGATAAGATTGCTTTACATTAAAATGATGAATCAAATGACATGTGTTTGATTATAATATACATTAAATACGATAATATCATATCAAAATTTATATGATATGTAACAACAACAACAACAACATCAAGCCTTTATCCCACTACGTGGGGTCGGCTACATGAATCATTTTTCTCCATTGTGTCCTATTAAAAGTCAAATTCTCGTTTAAATCTAATAAAGAAAGGTCATTCCTAATATTTTCTAACCAAGTCTTTTTAGGTCTACCCCTACCTTTCTTAACATAAGTCAAATCTAATACATCTACTCTCATAAACCGGGTCATCGCAAGGCCGACCATTTATGTGACAAACCATTAAGGCGACTTTCTCTAATCTTATCTTCTTACTGGAGCTACTCCAACCTTTTCACGTATATGTCATTTCGTATCCTATCTCTAAGGGTAAAGTCACTCATCCACCTGAGCATCCTCACTCTTGCCACCACTTAACTTAGTATTTATGGCTTCTCTTTTTAAAAGGCCAACATTCGGACCATTAAAAGCATTGCAGGCCTCACACATCCTTAATAGAATTTTCCCTTAAGTTTGAGGGGTACATTTCTATCACATAAAACTAAGCCGATGCATTCCTCCACTTCAACATCCAACTTGAATTCTGCTGATAATATCCCCATCTATTTCACCATCACTCTGAACAATAGATCCAAGATATCTAAAACGGTTACTTCTTATTAATGACTTGATCGCCCAAAGTCCACAATTCCCCTCACTTAGGTCTATTACACTAAAAATTATCACTCCAATATTCCGTTTTAGATCTACTCAAGCGAAAACCTTAGACCTAAGGTGACCTCCATAATTCAAGTTACTTCAACTCCCTCTCTAGTCTTATCAACAAGAAGAATATCATCAGCAAAAAGGCATTACACCAAGGTACATCCTCTTGCAGATGTCCTAGTGAGAACATCCATGACTAAAGTAAAAAAGATATGGGCTAAGGCTGATCCTTAATGTAACCCAACCGAAATAGAAAATACTGGTCAATCCACTGTGATTGAACACAAGTTTAATAGCTCCCTGCATACAAATATTCTTTTAAATAATTTGAATATAAGCATTATTGACCCTATTCTTTTTCCAAGAAACTCTTCATAGCACTTCTCTTGAATTTATCATAGCTTTTTCTTAAATCAATAAATTATCATATGTAAACCTTCCCCCTGTAATTTTCTCTTATATTTCTCCATTCAAACCTCTAATAAATGTATGGCTTCCATAGCTTCGACCTACCCGGCCATGAATCCAAATTGATTTTGAGATATACATAGTATCACGCCGCAACCTATGCTCCAAAACTCGCTCCATAGTTTTAAAGTATGACAACAGTAACTTAATACCTCTATAATTCGCACAATCTTGTCATTCACCTTTATTCTTATAAATAGGAATTAACACACTCATTCTCCATCTCATCTGGCATTTCTTAGTCTTTCAAAATAGTATTAAAAAGTTTAGTAAGCCATGAAAATTCCTTCATCTCCTAGCATTTTCCACACCTCTATTGGCATTCATTCAGTCAAACAGCTTTTCCACCCTTCATTTTCTTTTTAAAGCCTCTTAACTTCAGTTTTACGAATACGCCGATAAAAAACATAATCTTTATTTTTCATCTAGGGTGCTAAGGTCACTATAGTCAATCTTATTTTCACAATCTTCATTAAAAAGTTTAGCAAAATATCTCATCCATCTTTGTTGAATATCATCTTCTAAGAAAAGTATTTTTTGATCTTCATCTTTAATACACTTCACTTGAATGGAAAATACGCGTGCAAGAAAATAGTTAAAATACGGAAGTTTGCCGCCATATGATATTAACTGGGCAAACAATATACCTGAACATAACAAATGAAGAAGACTAGAAATGAAAATGAAAACGGTTCGTACTTATTAAATTAAAAGTTGAAACTTAAAATGTTAAAGAATATTCATGAAAAATGGTGATTATCAGTGCTTATATTTATGTTTATTTTAATTAGAAAAGGTTAATAATAAATCATGATTACTTGCATATACTTTTTATTGCCATATCCTATAATTGCAATCAACCATTGAGTTTGATGATGAAAACTCAACCCAATTAATTAAATATTTAAGATAAATCTCCAATTGAGCAAATGGGTTATCAAGAAGAGTTCATGTATAAATGAAGAGATTCAAATAAAAATAAGTATGAACTGTGTTATATTTGTTCAGACTGATAATTGAAGATTAATGACTCTTTTAAGATTTGAATTTTAGTTTATTTGATTGTTTAGTTATTGTTAAAAGAATTAATTTTACTGTCCAACAGCTATTACTGACTTGGTATTCCACGTACTTGGGTTGGGTCGTCACAAAACCAATGTCCTATCACTATATATATATAGCTTCATTTGAGAAAACGAGTATTATCTATGGATGAGAAAATCGCCCAAGGAACTTTACCTAATCATAGAACAATGACGTCAAATAGATAATAGGTGATATGCAACTATGCAGGTGTAAAATAGATAATTGGCGAATATTATCAAAATTCCAAGTGATAATTAAGTGTGATAGAATTAAGTACCTTGAACTACTTACAAAAAAATAATGAATGAAATGCGGAAATAGTTTTAGAGTTGAAATCAGGTGGCTAAAATGAAAAAAAGTGCTTTGAGTGTATCATGAAATAGAGAGAATGTTTGAGACTGAAAGAAAAATAAACTGCAATTAGAATGAGTATGGTATATGAATCTGAGTGTTGGCAACAAAGAAAAGTTAATGACAGTTACAATCAGCAAGACATGTATGAAAATAATAAAATGGATGTGTGATTAAAATAGGAAAGAAGAGGTTAAAGTAATTATAATAGAGAGATATAAGAGTAGCATCTATTGAAGATGAGATAATAAAAAATATACTTATAATTTAGGCACGTATAATAAAAGGTGAAAGATGCACAATAAGGATTAGTAAGCAAAAAATAAACCTAATGTAGCATGGCTATAAGAAGCTAATAAAATAAACTTAATATCCCATGCATCACATGACAACAATGCACAAAGAAGGATCCATAAAGTCGATACCGCCCAGTTGGGATAAGCCTACTGATGAAAATGATGACATGTAACAGAAACTAAAATAAATCATAAAACTGCAGCAACTACATAATCACCAATACAAAAGCTAAAAATTGCAATTAAACTTTAAAAGTGATAAAGAAACTTAAAAAAAAAAAAAATAGACCATCTTTTCTCTTGAAAATTACAAAATTAATGCTAACAAAGAGGCATCAGACAAAGACCAAAATCACTTTTCAGGAATGCCACATGATCATTATTCCTGTACTGTTGACTAGTACTCAAGCAGGAGACTCCCTTAAATGCAGGGCTTGGGGAGGGGAAATATATCTTAGAACTAGTATTGATGTTGTCTACATGAGGTTAAGTGTATGCGTCATGTAAGAAGCATTATGTTTAGAAGATAATTGAAAATTTTGCATTGCTAGTAAAAAAACAGTTAAAGGCGTATAAGTTGATGTCAGAGTACCTTAACAGTTTCTCTGATGCACTTCTTGCAGCTGCAAGTGTGCTTGGACTCGGAAGCCACTCAACAACCCTGTTTAAATCTGCCCTCATTGGAGAGTGGATCTTGACAAGCTTTGAAATAGAAAAGTTATTAACAATATCACAAGTTTTGCCTGCTTCAACAAAACATAAAGATCAATAGGAGGATCTTGTGACTTACTCCTAGGCATTCCATCAGCTGGTAGTATGCTCTTCCATACAATGGAGTATGTCCTTTTCTAGACTCTGAAAAATACCTTGTCCTGGAAAAATAGCATAACAGTCTTGCCTCAATGTAGTTAACACGAACAAAAACCACATTTGAGGAGAACAGAGCATATATTTTATCCATACCATTCTTGGTAGCCAGGATCCACAGTGAAACCATACATATCAACAGTATCACATATAGAGAGAGCGAATTCAAGGGCCTTCAGCCCAGTTCCTTTGGCAGCAGAACCAAAAGATGCACCCAACATCAGATAGACAGGATTAAGAATTGGGATTTCCTGCAGATAGAATGCTAAATTAACAAATTAGAAAGCATATGCAGTTAACAGATAACTGTACATAAATAAAATAAAATAAAAAATAAAATAAAAAAAAACTTGATGTGATGCAATGAAGGAGTTACACAAGAGTTTTAAAAGAAAATTAAATATTAGCTCCACAATTATTTAATCATGCATCAAAGTCAAGCAAATTATAAGAAATTCGCGATGTTTAAATTGCTAGGCAAGAAAATACAAGAGAGAGCCAAGTCTTTTAAGCAATTGCAAAGAAAACATAAAACAAAAGCTAGTAAATAGAATCCCACGATTAATACCACGTTGTTCACACTTTGAGGCCTTTAATGCTCTCTTCCTACGAAGACTAAGTTGAACGGCGGAAGATTGTCCAAGCTAGCATGGAGGTTGCCACAAAGATGGAGGTACCAAGGACCGTTGTCATGGACGAGGATCTCGGAGGCGGAGGAGGTGCGGTAGCTCGACCTTTGATCTTCCAAGTGTAGACGGAGAAGTGTTCGTCAATGGAGTCTACAAGCGTCAGCAATATTCGGTCCAAGTATTCTTTGACGGTATCGTCGAAGTCAAATCCAACGTCAAAGAATTGTGATCGCAAGATGTTGACTCTTCCGTTGCGGTCGTATTCAAACCCGTAGTTCCACTCGGGTTCATCCATGCATCCTTGGAGTGGATCCGGATAGTCGCCGCAAGCAAGATCTCTCAAAGAGGACAGGTGGGGCGGCGGCTTGGCGAAGGGAGAGGGGAGCCGGCGGGAGGACAGGGAGGTAGGCGGGCTGGGTGAGTGAAAAAAAAAACTGAAGTTCACTTTCAGTTTTGTGAAATTAGGAGGGAGGGATTGAGGGATTTGAAATTTCAATTAATGTAATTATTGCATTAATTGAAAATTTCAATTAAGGAGAGATTAGGGGCTGATTTTGTAGAGCATTCAATTTAATTTGGGGAGAGAGGAAAGCCATTCAAGGGCTGGCCATAAATTGTGGAGAGGGGCAATTAATATTATTGGAGTGGGCCATCTAGAATATAGATCACGGTAATATCAAATCTGAAATTTGAATTTTCAGATTTGTTATATTAGGAAAGTTTCATGCTGGTTATTAAGCCCTGGGATCCTTGGCATACAACAGGTAATAAAGAAAAAATTTAATAAAGCTGCTTGCCTAATGGAGCCCGCTGTAGATTAGGAAAGAATTTGGATTGATTGAAATTGAATTTCAATTCACTGGGATAATGGCTGGCGGGTTGGCGTGAGGCGGGCCTGGAAGAGGGAGTGGGATCGGCTGCAGTTTGGAGGAGGGAGACCAATTGGCCAGCGGCCAATTTCTGGCCGGACAAACAAAGTCGACAACAGGAGGAAAGTGAGAGAGGGTTTCAGGGCTTGGAAAGCAAGCTGTAATCTGTGGAGAAAACTTGGAATCTTCTAACCACACACCTCTTCTTCAAGATCTCACAGAGAAATTGCAACGATGCCGGAACTCACACAGAGATCCACGGAATTCCCTCAAGAACTCACGAAGAGAACTAGGGAAATGGAGAACTCACAAAGAGATCAATAGTAGAAAATTTCATTCAATAATTCATTAGTCCTCATACAAGATACAATGGCCATATAAATAGGCTCCAAAGAAAATAAAGTGCAAAAGTCTAAAATGCCCCTTGGGGCTACAAAAGCAACTACTACCCTCAGGGGTAAAATGGGAAACTACTAAAATAAAAGCATAATATAAAAAACTGATGGTACAAGTAAAATCAATAATAAAGGCTAGCAATAATGGCCGTCGATCTCCGTGGTCGTCTCTGATAGATGCGCCGAAATCTCCTATCTATGACCTCATCAAAACTGAAAAAAAAGGTGGCACAAGGGAAAAAAATTACAAGATACGCAAGCTAACAATGAAGAATTATCACGCCACACTGGCGCAAAAAATGCGCATGATTAAATCCCTCGACATTTCGCATGTAAAGGCATAAGTGCATCATGAATCAATTAATGTTTTCTGTTAGTGATACCTGAAGTTTTATCAAATAAAGATCATTGGCTTTCAACATACCAAATAAAGCTCGTTGGATCAAGGATGGATTAGAAGAAGAATATAGTAGCGTCAGAAAAAGGTCACAATTTGGCCATTAAATTGAGTAAAAGCTCAAAATAGTCCTTTGTCTATTAGTAAATGTTCAATTTATTCCCAGACTTCCATGATGACCAAATTTAGTTTCCCAACTATTACAAAATATCCTAATTTGATCCCAATGCCAAAAGTAACAGTTAAAGTCAACTCCAATAATTAACCATGAGGGTATTTTGGGTATTATAGTGTATGTAAGAATATATTATTACTAATGTTTCTCAAAATTAATTTGGATTCATGCCAGGTAGGTCTACTATGGAAGTCATACATTTATTGAGAGGTTTGATGGAGAAGTATAGAGAAAAAAAGGAAGATCTTCCTATGATATTTATTGATTTAGAGAAAACATATGATAAAGTTCCAAGAGAAGTGTTATGGAGAGTTCTAAAAAAGAAAGGGATTAATAAGGCATGTATTCATGTCATTAGGGATATTTATGCTAGAGTTGTTACTGATGTTCAAACACAAGGTGGTTTGACCAAGAATTTTTCAATTTCAGTTCGATTACATCAAGGATCAGCCTTAAGCCATATCTTTTTTGCTTTAGTCATGGGTGTTCTTACTAGAGATTTGCAATAAGATGTTCCCTGGTGTATGTTTTTTGCTGACGATATTCTTCTTGTTGATAGGAATAAAAATGGAGATGAAGGTAAACTTGAATTATAGAGATCAACCTTAGAGTCTAAAGGTTTTCGTTTGAGTAGATTTAAAATCAAATAAATAGAGTGTAATTTTAGTAGTAATAAATCTAGTGGGGGTTTGTGACTTTGAGCGATCAAGTCATTAATAAGAGTACACATTTTAGATATCTTGAGTAAATTGTTCATATTAATGGTGAAATAGATGGGAATAATATTAGTAGAATTTAAGTTAGATGGATGAAGTGGAGGAAAGCATCGGGCTTGTTGTATGATAGAAAAGTACCACTCAAACTTAAGGGAAAATTCTATAAGAGGGTGGTTAGACCTGCAATGCTTTATGGCACAGAATGTTGGCCATTAAAAGAGAAGCATAATATTAAGTTAAGTGTTGCAGAGATGAGTCTGCTCAGGTGGATGAGTGGCTTTACTCTTAGAGACAGGATATAAAATGAGCATATATGTAAAAAAATTGGAGTTGCTCCAGTGGCAGATAAGATTAGAGAGAGTCACCTTAGATGGTTTGGTCACATAAAACGATGACCTTCTGATGATCCGGTAAGGAGAGTAGATGTAATAAATTTAACTTATGCTAAGAAAGGTAGAGTTACACCTAAAAAGACTTGGTTAGAAAATATTAGAAATGACCTTTCTTTATTAGATCTAAATGAAAATTTGACTCTTAATCGGACACAATGGAGAAAAAGGATTCATGTAGTCAACCCCATGTAGTGGGATAAAGGTTTGATGTTGTTGTACACCATATTAAATTAAATACAAAAATCATAATGAAAGTTAATTAAATAAATTTTATATTTATTTTAATGTGATAAATGACAAAAAATATAAAAAATAATATAATTTCACATATACCCTAATGTCTAAAATATCCTCACATGTAACTACTAGGTTTAATTTTAATTATTAATTTTGATCTTCGGACCAAATTGAGATATTTTTTTAATAGTCAATGAAATAAATTGGGGCATTATGGAAGTCTGGGACTAGATTAGGCATTTACTAATAGTCGAGGGTCTATTTTGAGCTTTTATTCCTTTTAAATTCATTCCCCCAACTTTTTAACTATGCACATATAGGTCCACTTCATTAATAATACCAATTAAAAATCTAATAATTTACAGAAATCCACAATAAAGTTAAAGTTCAATTGTGGTTATCCTTTAGGCAAGAAGTTTCAGCATTTGGGTAACTAACAACTTCTAGCACCATTCCAAAAAGAAAGAAGGTTATTTCTTTGATTCAGCATACAACCCGCGCAGCTAAGGCCCACCCTCTGGTGATGGAACAAGCCACTTAAAAACACACAAATCTTTGGCGGTAGAACACATGTCATCATGTTGCAGTTATATTAAGGAAACTTCTCTAGCTTTTTTTTTTTTTTTTTTTTGAGACGACTCTAGCCAAGTAACAATGAAGTAAAACACGAGAATAAAGGCATCTCTCTATTGCTCTGTTGAGTTTTAACGGTGCTAATAATGAAATAGACCAAAATAGGTGAATTAGCAAATTCAGGGGATTATACTAGACAACACCAAAAATGAAGGATCTACTTGGCCACGTGCCTATTTCTTGGTAATTGAACTTGTACCTACTTTCATTTCATAAATTATTCAGAATAGGATTTCAACCTAAGAAAAAAAAAAGATAAATATATTGCTACAATTTTGAAACAAAACAGTTCAGTAATATGAGAGAAAATCATGTACAAATCAGGTAAATGGTTATGTTTCGAGATCTTCACCACATCTAGAATACAATCGAAGACACAAATTATGTGGCACCTATTAACATGATGAGCACATTAAATCAATCAAGCACAGTCAGGAAGTATACTGCAGTAGAAATTAATTAAATAAGTACACATTAATGTTTCAAAAGAAAGAAAAATATTACAGCAAGAACAAATAATGGCTCGCACCTTTATCATTTTGTTCATAATATCATGGATTGTAGTCTTGATGATAAGAACTTCCTTCCTTCGTTCTGTTCAATGTTAAACATTCAGCATAAGTCTAACTCAAGAGCAGAACTGAAAAGAGAGTGCAACACGTACTATCTAACTCTACAACTTTATCAAGTGCCTTTGCAGATCCTCTATTGAGTAGCCGAAACGTACTTTTCTGACCAACATACTTCGTGTAATTCTGCAATACTGTCAGATAACAGTAAACAGTTGATCAAGAATATACTTGACAAATCGGCCAGGAAGGTAGTCATTTGCTAGACCTGAATTGGTGCGCCATTTTCTCGAATTACAGCATCGTAAGCATCTATCTCATCTCCAAAGTTTGTTTTCAGAAGATCCCCAGAATTACCAACAACTGCACAGCGGCCAAACTGTCGTGGCAAGAGTGGTGGTTTTTCAGGGAGTACCAGTGAAAGCTTTTCCATGCATAATGTCTTGTTCGCACATCCATTGCTGGCAAATCAAAGAACATCAGAGAACAAAAACTACAACTGATTAAAGGAAGAATATAAATAGAAGCAACGCATTCATCCAAAATAGTGAGAAAGAATTCAGATTTAAGGTTCCATAAGCCACTTAATATATATTTGTATTGGAATCTTTTTAGCTCTTGCTAACATATTTATATAAAGGGAAAAAATAGAAACATACCATCCAATGCAAGATATTAGAGTAGTTTATCTTTCTAAATAATTATAATTATAACTCAAATCCATGATGATTTACTTACAGAAGCACCCCTTTGTTGATCCTCTGCCAAGCATACTCCTCCCACCCATTTGGTAGAGCGTCAATGAACTCCTTTGTAAGTATGGTAGTGCTGTTGCGGACCTGATAGGTAAAATTGTGTTAAATTAATTAGCTAGAATGATCTCAAATAACAAGAGTTCTCAGTAGACAGTCCACGAGTATTTAGCACCATAATGACAAAATAAACATTTCATGTTAATGCTCTACAATTTTCTAAGAGTAGCATACTAAATGAACTAATTATTGACTTCAAACTCATGTTGGATAACAACAATCTCAGCTTAAAACAGCGAACATCATAAGTGAGATTTTCGTTATTAAAACTTGACCTATGTTATATTCTTATGTGATATTTGATTCTCAATTATTTAAAGGCACTTCCAAATGCATGAAACAAGCAAGCAGTACATCAGCTTCTCTGCAAACTAAAATCTACAACATGAAATTTCCATAACTTTCCAGTTCATCAGCTGCATATCTTTTCTGATGAGGACATCGACAGACGCTACCAACATGTTTATTGCCGGCGAAACCGCAGATCGACGGCCACGATTCAGCGCCTCTACTTTTGATTTTGATGTCATGATGTATTTTATTTTATTAGCAGTCTTTCCTTTTTTTACCCCTGTGGGGAGTTACTTCGTTATTGTAGCCCAGAGGGCAATTTAGTATTTTCGCTTTGTATGAGTTGAGACCTATATATAGTGGTCTCATGTATCATTTTGAGCTTAATGAATATTGAAATGAAATTTTGCTATTTGTCTTCTTCTTCTTGCATGAGAGCTTGAGAGGAGAAAAAGCTCAAGGGGAGCAAACCACAATACCCACCAATCGTTGGAAGAGTCCTCGATTCGTGGCTAATTCTTCTATCATAGCGACCGTATTTCTTCCAAGTTTCTTCCTCCATCACCCCAAGTAGCTTTCTTCAAGCTTTGGTGCCGCCGTCCCTAGAGGAACTCGCCGCCGGCCAATTCCAAGGCCACGTCCGGCCACTTGCCGGCGAAACATCCCATCCATCCGATCCTTCCCTCCGCATGCTTCGATTTTGAAATTTGAATTTCCAATTTCAAATTCTTTCATAATTTGGAAATCTAATTTAAGAAAGTTTTCATGATGGGATTCAATTTCAATTTAATTTAGATTGGAGTTATGAAATCTATTGCCACATCATCATCCTAAATTGGAATCCTTTCTCTTGAATTCCCTTCCCTCCCTCTAAGCATGCCGCCGGCCCCCATGGAGAAAATTCCCCATTAATTGCTTGATTAATGGCATGACCGTTTCGAAATCATAATTTGATTTCAAAGTTTTTCCCTCCTAATTTACTTAAACTGAAATTAAATTTTAATTTTAAGTTTTCAAACCTCTCCTCCCCTCTATGCATGCCGCCGGCCACCCCCTTGATGAGCCCCTTTAATGGCTCATTAAATCCCCCCTTAATTCCATGGGAAATTTGAAATTCTTTTCAAGTTATTCCCTCCAAATTTACTAAAATCTGAGATTAACTTCAGATTTTTGGATAAAGTTCATGCCACCTCATCTAACCTAGCTTCTCTCACTCATTGCACCCGCCCCCTCTCTCCCATCTTGGCCGAAATCCCTCTCCTTGGAGATCCCGTCGGCTACTCCCTCCTCTCCTTGAAGAATTCTCCACGACAAGCATGTATGGCGGATCCGGAGCTTGAGTGGGGTCTTGTGTTCAACGCCGACGGAAGCATCAACATCCTACGATCCCCGTGCTTCGACGTAAGATTTGAAGACGAAACCACCGTGGAAGAATATTTGGAAAGAGTCGTCCCGATCCTTGCAAGCATCATCGACCGACGATTTTCAAATTACAATTGGAGTCTTGACGGCCACCTACGACATCCATCCCCACCGGCTACCTTTCCTCCGACGAAGTTCTTCGGCGCCTTCTCTCTAGTGGTAATATCCTTCATCATTTGGATCTTCTCTCTCCGCTAAAGCTTACTAATAGTTGAGTGAAACAACCCTCAAGGTGAAATTCTCATTGTTAAGTGTTGGATTTTTGTTACTTGTACTTTGCATCTAAATCTCTTGGAGTTTTGAATGAATTGCTTCGGTTAATTTCAATTGCCTTTCTTTGGACCTAATAAAGTTGAAATTTTCAAATTCTTAACTCACTTCTATGTGCTAGCTTTAAATTTAAAAGGAGCAAAACTTTAATCTTTTCTCTTCTTAAATTTCTTGAAATAACTCCTAGTGGTTTTCATCTCATATGGTTCACATCATTTTCAGTACATCATCTGCATGTCAACGCGCCTTTAAAAGGTTAGCATGCCATATTCATTCCAAGTTAGTACTTGCATTCATAACTTCCACAATACAATTCAATAAGCCAAATTTATAGAGTTGCAGTCTAGGAAACAAAATCAATTAAAAAAAAGCCTTATGTCCATATCAAGCACCTTTGTACACTGAAGTGACTTAGATGCGCTCCAATACACACCTTTGTACACTGACATGCCTTAGATGCGCTCCAACAAGTCTGGCACACTTAAAATCATGCATGATATGTTTTCTTTTCAAACATAAAGTCACACAAAGTTGAGACATGCCCGACACTATCTATACACAAGCCAACATGGACAGAAAAAGTGCAATATATTTTTGGTTCGATCAGTATATGGTTCAAGTTGAAGATTATATTATCTACTTTGAGTTATTGGCATTTCATATAAGCAATATACTATTGATATTGAAAAAATCATGCCTAATTGTTTATGTTAAGATTAGTGTTGAGGACAAATGCACTTGATAAAATATAAAAATGTAATTGAGATACATACGCTATCATACAGCTTTGTGTAAAGCTTTTTAATAAAAAATATTGACATTAAGTTCAAAAATTTGTGTGCTTGACATATTATGTCGTCTTTTTACAATTGCCTCACGTCCCGACGTCCATATCACAGCATGTCTGTGACTCATATTAGTGCAAGTGCTTCATAGCTCGGAGTGAGGTTGCAATGAATATGATACTTGAAAATGGAAAATCTTATCATTGGGATAAGCTTGAACGAATTTTGTAGACACGCTCAGCATTTAATACTTAAAAGAATGCATAAGGAACAAATTTAAAGACTCACTTGTTCCCATGTAGCTACTGCTTCACAAAGATTGAAGTCAAATGATAACCCTTCAAGTTCTCCTGTCTTGGGATCTTTCTATTTGGTTGAATGCAAAATAAAAGAAGAAATTAGAATTTTTAGCTGAAGTTAAAAGAGAAAATTTAACAGTTAGTACTGCAATTTCGCTCATTGGGTTCAGGAGTAAAACCTCTGGAAAAACCAAAAAGTGTTGGTTAAAATAAGCCATTACAAAGACGTTCCTATTGACTAGGTAAAGAAATATAAACTATCGTATGAAAGCTCCATAAAAGAAACAACTTAAATTCACATATATTTATACAACAACAACGACATCAAACCTTTGTCCCACTACGTGGGGTCGGCTACGTGAATTCTTTTTCTCCATTGTGTCATGTTAAAAGTCAGATTCTCATTTAAATCTAATAAAGAAAGATCATTTCTAATATTTTCTAACCAAGCATTTTTAGGTCTACCTCTACCTTTCTTAATATAAGTCAAATATAAAACCTCTACTTTCCTAATCGGGTCATCGGAATGCCGCCGTTTTATGTGTCCAAACCATCTAAGTCGACTCTTTCTAATCTTATCTTCCACTGGAGCTACTCCAACCTTTCACGTATATGCTCACTTCGTATCCTATCTCTAAGGGTAAAGCCACTCATCCACCTTAGCATCCTCATCTCTGCAACACTTAGTATTATGCTTCTCTTTTAATGGCCAACATTCGGCACCATAAAGCATTGCAGGTCTCACCACCATCTTATAGAATTTTCTCTTAAGTTTGAGGTGGACTTTTCTATCACACAACAAGCCCGATGCATTCTCCACTTCAACCACCCAATTTGAATTTTGCTGATAATATCCTCATTTATTTCATCATCACTCTGAACAATAGATCCAAAATATCTAAAACGAGTACTCTTATTAATGACTTGATCACCTAAAGTCACAATCCTCTCACTAGGTCTATTACTATTAAAATTATAATCCATATATTCAGTTTTAGATCTACTCAAGTGAAAACCTTTAGACTCTGAGGTAGACCTCCATAATTCAAGTTTACCTTCAACTCCCTCTCTAGCTTAAATTCACATATATTTATGGTAAACATTAAAAATCTTTAAATTCAGGATTTCATAAGTTTAGGATATCTATCTATCTACAATTTTTTTTACCTTCAAAATGAAAAAAAAAATAAATAAATAAATAAAATAAAATACAGCATACAGTGATCAAATGTGAAAAGGTGTCATGGTTTATGCTATGAGATTCTATTTTATTTTTAATTGAGGGCATCTGTGTCCAGGCTACCATTCATGTCATTCTAAAGATTAATCAGTTGTTATCTTCATCAAAATTAGTAAGATTTGGCAAGTATGAACAGTGAAAACCTACCCACTTCGAAATTGTGTCACTTGGGAACTTGATTGAAACTTGACAAAGGTCGCCACTACCAACAGCCTGCAAGCCAAGTCCATTTGCATTCTGCATTATCACAATAGAAGATTCATTGGGTTCAACACATGCTTATACGCTTACACTATTGCAAATATTTAATAATTTTATTAAATCGTAAAATCATAAATATAAAATATTGTCATTTAATCAAGATAAAGTAAAGAATGTCTTACACTTAGAAAGATTCCAAAAGAAAAAAAAATTAATAACAAATATCGCAAACTTTTCATACAGAAAAAGGATTTACTTCCTTTACTTCAGCCTGTTAAGAATAATTCTAAACAAAATCAGTAATATTCAATATTGAAGTTTATAGTTGACACATTTTCCAAGGATGACAATGACCATTGCAAATTATAAGCATAGATGAGAAAATTCAGGTTTGATGTTAGGTTGATGGTTAATTCTAATACCTATGCCAAAATTCATACAAGGAATCCTGATTTGAGGATAAAACCTCTGAGGAGGGATTAGCAAATTAGTGAAAAGATCTCCATCAACATCTATAAAAATTACATTCGACTTTTCATTAACCAAAGGTACAAATTCAACAATCAGAAAGCTGATGCAGGTTTGAGAAAAAGAATGAAACGATATACTTTATGGCATTTGTTATTTTTAATTTGTAATAATTACATGCAATCAACATGAGAAGGAAATGCTTTTTGAGAAAATCATACAACAACAAGCCTTTGTCCCACTAAGCGGGGTCGGCTACATGAATCCTTTTTCGTCATAAAGGATTCATGTCATGATTATTCGACAAGTTTTACACTGGTTGTCGACTACCTAACGCTACCCCCCACTTTTCTCATCCAGGACTTAGGATATGACAACATCATAATGTCTACTACGTGCTAGAGACTAGAATGACAATGATTTCTTACATTCTTAGTGTCTACTAGGTGCTTCAAAAAAATTATTTTTTATCATGATTTCTATTTCCTTTTATTTCCATTTTGCATGAGTATAGCTAACAATTAATAAGAATGAATATCAAAGAATAATTAATAAAGTTTATCCTAAATTAATGAAAAGAGGCTAGTTATGATAATCATGTTCAGTCATCATACAGGAATAACTAGCATATAATGAGCCAAAATCTCCCTGTCAATCATCATACAGGAATGTTGATGATTAGGCCATTGCAGGTGAGCCCACCAACAGCCATGATTCTTTTATGTTGAATTTTCGATGTTTTCTTTATTTAATAATACTCTTATTAGAAACCATTTTATTCTGATTTATGCTTGAAAAAGAAGGAATAAAGTTGTTGTTTACCCACGATTCAAATAACTAAGTCTGCTTCAAACGCCGAAGATTCCTTTAATTGTTAGATATCCAAGAGGACCAGTCAATCTCTCAAAAAGTTTTTACTTCTATGAGACAAACATCGCTGTGAACAACTAGACATAATGCTTTTGTGTCATCACTAAAATCAGGGATCCAGACTCCCTCGTTTCAACATAAACAATGATTGAAATTTGCATCAAATTTGCCAAATTACTCCATACACATAGCACCTAAAAAAAACCTGTCCACAGAACGCACTCACCACACATTTCCTAAAGTCGCTCTGAAACGATATCAAGGCGTCTAACTCCTCGCTCGAAACTCTAGCACCTCCATCTGAAAGAGATGAGAATACGAAAACCATCACTCTAATGAAACATATAAATCAAGTAAATATGGCCACAGGTAGACACGCACCAAATTGGTAAGGAAAGCAGCTAGAACTCACAGAATTTGGAGACGCCCGTGACGTAGACAATGATGGCGGCGATGCCCGACGCCAAAGCTACCGCCAAGCCCAATTGCAATATCTTCATTTCAAGATTCTGATTGTGACAGGAGCGAAAGCGTCTGAAACCTTCCTCGCTGCTACAGTGACATGGAGCCGTGGTGGATGGAGAGAGAGAGAGAGAGAGTCGAAGGAAATCTGTGCTCTCGATCTCGCCGCACCTAATGATTTGCAGGGCTTGTTCGAGCCAATTCGACGTTCCACGCTCATCGAAGATAGGTTCCGGCTGTTTGGCAACGGGATTTATACAGGGTTTAAGCAAAATTTAGCATAAATCATGCCAAACTGGATTTCATAATCCCATAAATCTCACGCCGAGATAAATCCTCCGTTACCTATTTTTGGCGTAAATCCCGGATTTAGTAAATCCTAGGGTTCATAAGATTTACGCGATTTGGCCGAAGAAGCGCGCGAAAGGGAGAAAGATGGTTACCCTCGCAACGAGTGAGCTCCCGTCGTCTTCGAAGGATGCGGAGAATGCCGTCGAAGGAGGCGAAGGAAAATGTCGCCGAAGTGCCCTGACTTCCGATCGAGGAAGGCAGCGTCGTCGAAGAAGGCGAAGTAGGCCAAGAACGAAGGTTGATTCGGTTTATGCTTACATAAACATAAAAAAAGGAGTTTTAGAAAAAGGTGGTTGAAAACAAACCGTTCAATAAAATGAAGTTTCAATAATGAAATATTTTAAAAGTGCTTATTAATATTTGAAATTAATTTTAAGGCTTCGTTTGATTCGGTTTATGCTTACATAAAAAGGAGTTTTAGAAAAGGAGATTGAGAAAAAACCGTTCAATAAAATGGAGTTTCAATAATGAAATATGTTTGACTAATATTTTTAAAAGTATTTATTAATACTTGAAAGTAATTTTATTATAAAAGACATATCACTTCCGAAACTCCGTTTTGTGACCGAAGAAGCAGATACGAAAAGAATTTTGTAACCGCCGAAAAAACGATGTTTATTAAAAAGGAATTGTTGTTAAGCTTTGATTCCAAACAGTAAATACTAATTAATTTCGGCGTATTCAAAAGGAAACGGAGAAAAAAAGCCTAATCAAACGAGGCCTAAATTGTTTGTTTAGGAGTTCTGATTTTGAGATTTTATTATTTAATACTTGAAAGTAATTTTAAATCAGTAATTCGTTTCCAAAACTCTGTTTTGTGATCGAAGAAGCAGATACGAAAAGAATTTTGTAACCGCTGAAAAAATGATGTTTATTAAAAAGGAATTATTGTTAAGCTTTGATTCCAAACAGTAAATACGAATTGATTTCGGCGTATTAAAACGGAAACGGAGAAAAAAAGCCTAATCAAATGAGGCCTAATATTTTTAAAAGTGCTTATTAATACTTGAAAGTAATTTTAAATTGTTTGTTTAGGAGTTCTACTTTTGAGATTTTATTATTTAATACTTGAAAGTAATTTTAAATCAGTAATTCGTTTCCAAAACTCCGTTTTGTGATTGAAGAAGCAGATACGAAAAGAATTTTTTAACCGCCGAAAAAATGATGTTTATTAAAAAGGAATTATTGTTAAGCTTTGATTCCAAACAGTAAATACTAATTGATTTCGGCGTATTCAAACGGAAACGGAGAAAAAAAGCCTAATCAAACGAGGCCTAATATTTTTAAAAGTGCTTATTAATACTTGAAAGTAATTTTAAATCAGTAATTCGTTTCCAAAACTCCGTTTTATGACCGAAGAAGCACATACGAAAAGAATTTTGTAACCGCCGAAAAAACGATGTTTATTAAAAAGGAATTAATCTTAAGCTTTGATTCCAAACAGTAAATACTAATTGATTTCGGCGTATTCAAACGGAAACGGAGAAAAAAAAAAGCCTAATCAAACAAGGCCTAATATTTTTAAAAGTGCTTATTAATACTTGAAAGTAATTTTAAATCAGTAATTCGTTTCCAAAACTCCGTTTTGTGACCGAAGAAGCAGATACGAAAAGAATTTTGTAACCGCCGAAAAAACGATGTTTATTAAAAAGGAATTATTGTTAAGCTTTGATTCCAAACAGTAAATACTAATTGATTTCGGCGTATTCAAACGGAAACGGAGAAAAAAAAAAGCCTAATCAAACAAGGCCTAATATTTTTAAAAGTGCTTATTAATACTTGAAAGTAATTTTAAATCAGTAATTCGCTTCCGAAACTCCGTTTTGTGACCGAAGAAGCAGATACGAAAAGAATTTTGTAACCGCCGAAAAAACGATGTTTATTAAAAAGGAATTATTGTTAAGCTTTGATTCCAAACAGTAAATACTAATTGATTTCGGCGTATTCAAACGAAAACGGAGAAAAAAAGCCTTATCAAACGAGGCCTTAATCTCTTATAGATCATAAGTCAAATAAGTACTTTCATAAAATAACTATTATGTATCATATTATATTTATATTTTTGCTTTTCATTATTTAAAAGTTAATCTAAAGTTGACTTGAAATTAAGGCTTCGTTTGAGACTAGGGGTGTAAACGAGTTGAGCCAAGTAGTGACATTATTGAGTTAGGCTCGTTTAGCTCATACTTTTGAACTCGAGCCCGAGCTCATTTAATGAGCTCAAATTTAACTCGCTGTATGAAAATCAAGCTTGAACTTGGCTTGACTATTTGAGCTCGTTTCAAAAATCTTGAGTTTGATTCGCTTGAAAAGCTCGAACTTGATTCATTTATGAAGCTTGAATTTTTGTTATCTTAAAAAATTCTTGAGAAAAGTGTATATTGAAAAATTTTTAATATATATTTTAAAATCGAGGAGCTCAACGGACTACCGAGTCGAGTCAGATTAAGCTTGAACTCGAGCTCTTTTAATAAACAAGCTTGCTTACAAGCTTGAACTTGAAACTCAATAAGCTTGACTTGCGAGCTTATAAGTGAGTTGAGTTCAAACTGGCTCGGCTCACTTGCACTCCTATTTGAGATAGTTTTAACCATTATTTTTAAAAAAAAAAATATACTAAAAAGTTATTGTATAATGTAATAAGAAAGTTATTATAAATGAAGCCTGAATCATTTTAATTCTACTCAAATAACTTTAAAGTTGTTAGAATTAAAATTTTATTTAAATCTATATGTAAACTCACTCTATAGTTGCCCTAATACAATTT